CTCTCTTTTAGAGCAGAAGAAAGCTGACTTCTCATTTCTTCTGAAAGCCACTTTCTCCCCTAGACAAGGAGTAGCCCCTACATGTTCACATACCGTTTGCCACTTGGCCTTTGACCTTTCTGCTTCGAATTTGGCAACCTCTTTGCGATCATGAAATGACACAAGCAGCTTCCAAATGCACAGTAGGACGACCCCAATGAGAAGAATAGCCAGTGAAACCCCCAACATGATCATGGGAATGTTTGGTGGTTTTGCACAGTCTGTGGGAACAAAGAAAATTATATTAAGAAGATGGTACAATCAACATTTTGATGAACATTTGTCATTAAGTTTTCCAACCATATTTTTCTCTAGTAGAGGGGAAAATAGTAACACCTTTTGTTTTGCTGAAAAAATATTTTTAAATGAGTTACTTGTTGAAGGATAGCCCCATTCCTTCAAAGTGGAACAGGAGATAAAGTAGCAGTTTGGCTATTCAAAGCAAATGGATATACACTAGAAAAGCTGACTCAGAGTTAGAATCCAAAAGAGTGCAAATTAATGCACATGGAATATTTAAAGGACCATAAATAAGATATAGTTTAATCACTAAACATAGTCTCTTCTGGGTATATAATAAAGTAGAAATGGGATGAGTGTGTGTGTATACACACACACATAATTACTTTTCTTTATTTTTTGAAACAAAGAGATTATATTAAAAATTATATTGAAAAGTTTCCTACTTACTGCTGCTGATTTCTTATTTAAAATTTTTTTTAATAGACAGAAGAGAATCACGGCTTTCAGTTTTATTTTAACTCTAATGCCTGATGTCCTGAAAAGTTCTTGGACTGGGGTCAGGAGAGGTGGGTTCAATTCCTATCTGAACTGAAGTACAGTAGCCATCTAAACCCATCAAGTCCTTTGATCTCTCTGAGCCCCAGAACCCTCATCTGTAAAACAAAGGTGTGGGACTTCAGTGTCCCTTCCTTCCCTGAAATAAGGTTAAGCCAGGTGCTCATGCTGATTAAACCCACAGCTTCCTCAACCTCTCCCCTGAGATTCTGATTTAGTTGGTCTTGGATGCAGCCAAAGATTATTTTGTTATTAAAAGTATCCTGAGTGATTGTTATCTTCAGGGAAGTTTGGAGAATTAGAAGTTTTGTATAGTCCTTTTAACTTGAACATTCTATGAAGTGTTATTTTGACTATTGATGATATTAATGTAATTTTGCAATTATACCGTACCTTCCCTTATTGACAGCAGAATGACTAATAATCTTTGCAATATGCCTGGGAGATGATACAGCCTTAATGAAACATAAATAAGCTCTCCCTGGCTTTCATAGTGGGGGGAAAACCCCATATAAAAATTATCATTAAATATCCGCCTCCCTCTGCAAGAAGTGAGGCAAATCGATGGCATCTGAAGAGGAAATGAATCATGCTTAGTTTCTTTTAACTCAGTGCTTTTCGGTGTTTAATAAGGAGAGTTATACACCCAGACTACTCACGCTACTTTCAAGGTAAGAATCTATAACTGGTCTGAATTTAAGCGGGACTAATGACCCCCTGGCAGTGTGATGCCTGGCCTCACACAAAAAACCATGTAAGGAGATTATGCAGAAATAAGTAAAGGAGCTAATGAAATAGCAACTAAAGTGTGAAGATCTAAAGGCTGTTTCTAGCATAGCAAATGAACCATGCTGCTTCTAATAGGTTAGCAACATGCTGGCAAAGAAAGCTGCAGGTGCCTGTCAATGAGAATATATATTGGCTACATCTTTGACTATAAAATGTCTGGGGTGGGGCATAGCATATTCTTGCTTAAAGCAAAATGAGCCTTACTAAGACCCTGCAGCCAGAATGTGATTCAGGAGGGCTCTCCACTAGGGAATAAAAAGAGGAGGAGTAAGCATGACCTAGCAGAGATGATTATTTTAAGAATTTAGAATCATTGGGAATTATTCATTTCTTGAGACAAGATCTTGGCCCAAGTACCAAAGCAAGTATTACACAATAGAAAATCCAGGTCAGTGTAGCACCTAATTCCAAGGACCCGAGTTTCTAATGCTGACAGTCTGGTAGGTCCGCCACATAAGGCTACTGAACACTAGAAAAGTGACTTTCCAAATTAGGTTGTGTGATAAATGCAAAATGCACACTAATTTTGAAGAATTGGTATTGAAAAAAGTGTAAACAATCTCATTAAGTTTGTATATTATCACACTGTGAAATGACAATATTTTGGATATAGTGGATTAAATAAAATATTAAAATTCATTTAAACCTTTTTTTTACTTTTTAATATGGTTACTAGGAAATTTAAAATTATATATGTAGTTTGCATTAACATTTATATTGGACAGTGCTGATATATTTTGGGGATTCAAATATTTATTATGATCACACAGCCAGTGGGAGGCAGTATAGCACAATAGTTAAAAGCATGGGCTTCCAATTCCAGGACCAGAGCTGGTACATAATTGCTGCAAAACCTACCAATTACTTAAATTCTCTATGCCTCAATTTCATTACCTATAACATGGAAATAATAACAATACCTGATTTATATAGCTGTTGAGGGCATTAAATGAATTAATACATGTAAACATCTAGAATAATACCTGGCATATGGTACTAGTAAGGGCTCAATGCTGAGAGTTGCTATTATTACTATAACAAGTTCACTCTTCCACCTTTTCTATCCTCAAGACCTCGAGGGCTTGGAACCTCCAAGTTGGAAGCCATACCTACATCCTTGCCAGGAAGACTCCCCAACTGTCATTCTTGCCTGGCCCCTTATGATTGTGGCTCTTACCCTTAAAAGTTTTTCCAGATGTAAGAAAAAAAGATGAGCAAAGCTTTCCCCACATCCACACACCCCTGATGATGACCCTTCACTTGGTTTCTTTTTCAATTTGTTTGGAATTCTTAAGCTCCATCTCCTCTTTTCCCACTTCGCTTCTTTTCTATCCAGGCCTCCCAGCAGCTGTCCGGAGCATCTCTGGTCTTAAAGGGAGAGGGGACTACAGACTCCTGGGGATGGGCTCTGCCCTCAGAGCCCTGAGAGCTGTGGCCTATCTAGCTTTCAGAGATGGAGGGAGAGGGAGAGAGAAATAGAAACATCAATGATGAGAGAGAATCATTGATCAGCTCCCTCCAGCATGCCCCACACCGGGGACTGAGCCCAAAATCCAGGCATGTGCCCTGACTGGGAATCGAACGGTGACCTCCTGGTTCATAGGTCGACACATCCACTGAACCACGCTGGCCAGGCGAGGGACACATTCTTAACTGAAGACAGAAAAGGTGGGGCACCTGTGAGTATCTAAGGATGTGGCCAAGGCTGTTAAGGCAGAGTCGCTCAGAGGAGATCCTGAAGCCGCCGGTATCAAAGCTGCCTGGGCCACACGCAGGCCTGCAGGTTCAGGTGAGCATGATGCTCACTAAAGTTGAACAACTTCTCAACCAAAGCACCTTTCCCACTCTTCCATCTTCTCTGTATCAACTTCTAACATGAGCTGCTGTCTCCTCTTCACTGAAGATGCGCTTTTTATCTGAGGGCTTCCTGAGTCCCACAGGGGCTCCAGAAGCTGGTGTGGAAGCAAAGCCACAGAAGCAATGGACTCAGATCACTTCCTCACTTCTGCTTTGTGTCTTCTTGGTTCGGCGTTATCACCGAATGACCCATGGCTCTAGGCTATGAATTGGTGCATGTTTTATATGCATCGTTCCATTTAATTCCTGAATAATTCCTTAAAAGAAAGTATTATTTTTCCTCTTTTACAGATGAGGAAA